CCGGGGCTGGGCTGAGTTCGGAAGCGCGAGTTCAGCTCAACTCAATGGTGCAGTGAACTGGAAAGACACTAAAGTTGGTTACATTCCCCGCATGATGACGGAACAGAAGGGCCTGTCTTATCGTTCAGCTCAGCCTGAAACACCAGACCAAACCTGACAGTACTCGACAAATTTTTGTACACACGCAAAGATTACAAAGAGGACGTTGATGAGGATGATGAAGATGATGACGATGATGAATTGAACGATGACGATGACTGATCCGCCCTAATACGAATGTATAACTAAGTGGTGGGGGATACAGTATGGAATGATCATACTTGCCCCAGCATCCATGGGTTGGAAAAACGTTCTATTATCGATTCACAAATGTATTTTCATTCGAAAAGCCTAGCATCCGTTTATCTGTTTCGATCGGAGTCAATTAAAACTGTTATCATTGGTTGGTATTTAAATTCAAAGATGACAAAAGGGGAATCGTACAGTAAACAAACCGTGTATCGATTCCCACAGCCATAGCAAGAACAACACCAATCAGTACCAAATTTATCCACTGAAAGTATTGCAGTCACTTCACTAACAACCTCTCCATCATCACCACCACCCCTGCCCCGACGGTCACATATTTCTGAGAAATACCAATATGTGCAACAGTTCATGCTCGGGATCGTGGTCGATACATTTGTGAGTAGATAAGATTCAGTCATCAAGCAATAAGTATATAAAACTGATAAACTAATGAACCTAACGATTCTTAGTGAGTTATAGAAATTAACTTAAAAAGAACATAACATAGGGAACAAATGTAACTGTCCGTACGATGGACATGAGCAAACACTTCCATGCCCACTATCCGAAAATTGAACTAAGGAACTAGTTGTCCTGATCGGACAGGTGCTTCCAAACTGTATGAGAACATTTTCCCCAGTCGAACGATTCTTTTTCAAGTTCCACGTTCGGCCTCAGTTGTCATCCCTTTGTGTTTCCTTCAATCGATTGCACGTGCGTGGATCGACCTCCTTTGATCGGTGTCGTCACTTGGGACATCTGTGTTTACCCGCCCTCGTGAGTGACCACAGAAGAACCATACACTGTGTACTGCACATTATCAAACAACAACAGCAGCAACAACAACGGACCTAGGCGCGTTTGCGTCAAATTCAGATTTGTTTATGAAAATGTCATTCAAAAATAAATTACGATACGATTTGGTCATTTCTAGCCACAGCCATGGATTGAGAGGAATTATTTGCCCATTGTGCCCAGATTATTCGCGCCGCCAATTGTCACGTTATAGACTGGAACTCATGAGGCACACATACACACACGCACTAACATAATTATCAGCACGTGCACACACGCACGCACATGCACGTTCTCTACAGTCCAGCTGACTTGTCCGCGGGATGTCGAAATCGCAAGTGCAGACGCAATGAACCGGACAGATACCATGGTTTCTCAATGACCGATTTGGGGTCGGCATTTAGTGTCCAGTGTCTGTCTGATTCTAAGTTGGAACTAACCCCAACCGCATGGAAATCAGATTGGCAAGTTCACGGATGAATGATANTGAATGATATATCAGGTCGGAGTCATGCAGTGTCCGAATAGTGTCTACTGCCATTTACACATGCAGCATTTTCCGGGTTTCGTTCCACAGAAGTATATCGGTCAACTTCGAAAGTAGTTCATACATGAAGTTGCCCAATTGTAGGGGGCGCACAGTGACATTTGATTCGTTAGGTCCAAGTGCCAATATTGTAACGAATTTGATGTACAGTCTTATGTCAACGGGTTTCAGTGTTTCTACAATAATTCAAATTGTCTCATACAGTGATATAAATACGTTACTCGTACATAAGGGCACGGAACAACCTAGACTATCTTGATGAGTGAGTCAGTTGTGAGTCAACCTTTCTTTAGCTGCCGATGACCGCTATCATCATCACCCTTTAGAGATCACTGGGAACAGAAAGTTGGAACAGCAAAGATGAGATTAAGCAATGTAAGGGTATTCAGAAGATCTAGGTAGATCTCTCCGCAAAGGCACAGATGAACCTGATAAACAATGCAATGCTAAGTCTGAGTTTTCAACAACAATAACAACAACATCAAATGGGTTTCCACCAATTTGCCGAACTGCTACTCGTAAACACTTCGTCTGAGTAGTATTTTAGCTACAGTGACCCAGCCGATCAGGTGGTCCGGATTATTTACGGTCCAAGATCCTGAAGGAATGAACTATGTTGCTGATTACCATGTTTCCGGATCTATTCAGTGAATGTCATCGACAGAAAGAACGTGAGTTGTTGACTAACTGCGACTGGCATAACGTGAGTCATCAAAAATGAACCTCCGTAGCCTGAATATTATGTGCTTCAGTGTTGGACCTGGTTCATTCGTTCGAAATGTCCTCCACTTTTACACCAGGTAGCCTCAAATATCATGAATATCCATTATCGATATTACACGGGTGACGTAACCTCTTGCTAATTCTTCTTTCCATTCCTGAGATCTCTGTGCTAGCTCTAAGCTAATTCAGCTGTCTTTGTGCGGACTGATACTTCATTCACGTCTCTATCTAACTTTTGCAAAGCACCAGACCTTACTCGTTGTAAGTGGGCAAATCTCTGTTCGGTACTATTTGAAGGGGTCTGCATTCAAAGCTTTTGTTTCTGGTATTCATCCAAAATACCTTAACAATGAATTCGTTCGATTATGTCATCCAAGCATTGCTTCATTCCAATTCCTTCACCTGTCTTAGTTACAGAGCACCATAACACACAAATGAATGGTTTTTCTATCAACACTATATTATTTATGAATCCGTTAAATCGTACCGATTGTGTATTTTCCCTGCAAAGAGGCACTGTACACAGTAACGTTCTTCATTCCAGTTGTAATATGGATGTGTGCATAATGAACCCGAAGGAATTCCGAACGCAACTGGAGATGCAACGTCGAAGCAAGATTTGAACTAGATCTGAACTGATTGGTTCGGTTTTTACCAAATAATGCAATTGTCTTTCCGTTGTGTCAAGCTTACGTACACGTTCAAATCCCGTGCAGGTATATGTGTTTGTGTGCTCTCCCGATTGATATGTGCCTTCTCCGTTATCTTCCCGGTCTGATTGTAAAGGATTGAAAACTGGTATGTCTCCATAGATATTTGGATCTTCAGGTCGTGGACTATCTCNTAATCAGTGTAAACAGTGAGCAACTTCAGATGTACAAAACATTTTCTAATCTAAGCGCAACCCCCTCCCCGCACACACATATATGAGCATATGATCTTATTTCAAATATATATATACGAGAACCACAGAACCCTGATACTCCGTCCTGCTCTTATAATGAGTTATATATAAATAATTGGACAANNAATTTCCCAGAAACACACTACTGGTTTCGCGGTCCTTGCCGCTGGTCAGGTATGCGTATTCGGTAATTTGCTGTCTGATCATTATTATTCTTGAACTGTTAAGGAGGTTTGCATTGCATAACTCCGTCCTGCTTCAACGTGCACTACCTCTCGGTCGTTCTGACGGGATTCCCCTTGAATTGCCAACAGTATTGCACCAAATCCCGGAGTATGCGGATAGATTACGGACCCACAATGGAGATGAATTACACTAAATACTTCTTCGTTTTTTACAGGTCAATGAAAATAAAAGCTGTCAATATAAATTGATCGTTGGATATTAACTTTCTGCCTGTTTGCCTAATTCAGTAAATCCCCTGGTTAGACGGCATAAC